GGGACAGGGGAGGTGTCCCCAGGAAGAGAAGAGTTCCCAGTGAGGGTCTGAAGGTCCAGAGCGGGCCAGGGTCTGCCCTGGTGGGCACAGACAGACCTGGATCCAGGGCAAAGGGCCGCCTGGCTGACCTCTCCCGAGCTCCCCCTCTGCCCCTCCCCCTGCCATCTCCCAGCAATGATGTTGCCTTTTCTCCTTCGTCTCAAGGTCGAGCCTGCTGAGTGGCCTGTGGCCAGGCTGGGGGCCAGGTGGAACCCCCTCTCCACAGGCCTGCGGGAGATGCCATGTGAGCTGCTGTGGCTCTGTTTCACTGTCTGTCCGTCTGTCCGCTTCTCCTTTCCTCACTAACCTCAGGGTTCTGCTCTCTGCCCTGGGGACCTCTGGAGGAGGGGGCACTGCAGCCGGGTCTGTCAGAGACCCTGCAGGACAAGGCTATGCCCAGGGTGTGGCTGGGGTGGCAGGAGCCACCAACAGCCCATCTCTGTCAGACATGGAAGGTGTGGGCCTAGGGGGCCAGGTGACTTTATGGCCAAAAGCCCTAGACGCCTCTTGGAGCCACAGCCCATCCGGGCAGCTGGGAACTGTGCCTTTCTGGACTCTGGTGGCCACCCCTGGACATAGGCAAGGGCCCCTCAGCTCTGACACAGTAGCCAAGTCACCTGTCTTCGTCCTTGGAGAGAGACATGACCCCAGCAGAAGCGGACATTGCCTGCCTTCCCAGCCCCTGCCCCCAGCCTGGAGGTCCTAAGATGCTCAGACAACCCCCCCAGCCCACCCCCACCCCTGACTCCCACCTTCTCAGTCTCATGCAGGTGGCCTCCTCCTCCCACTAACCATGGCCTCTTTTTCTTCCTCAGAATTAACTCCACGGGACAGGACATGGCTGCCCCCCTAACCACTGTCTGTCTTTTCTCTTAGTCACAGCCTCCAGGCCTCAAACTAACTCCAGGGGGAGTGGGGCAGGGTCGCCCAGTGAGGAGTGAGGCCTGGCAGGGCGGGGCCTTGGGCAGCAGAGGCCAGGGGCTTGTCTTCTTGCTCCCTTCCAATGACTTGGAACCAAACATCTTCATTCCGTTAGAGACAGAAGCTTTCCCAGTGGCCACGTGGGACCCAGCTGTCCTCCATCACAGGCGTGGCCTGCGAAGCAGCCCTTGCTTAGTTTGGTGAGCCGGCTTTGGGCAGCCGCGAGGGCCTCATTCGTTCACTAAACTCCTCTGTGCCGGCCGCGGCCTTGCCCCCTTCCCTGCAAACAGCCACGGCAGGTGAGCTTGGCGTGACCCACACGGATTTGGCAAGTGGCCACTGACTGCTGCCCCCATTGGGGCACTCTCAAAGTCCCAGATCCAAGGGGAATGGAGACAAGGAGACCCCTGGCCACTGCTGGAACGGCCCCGGGCCTGGGGGCCCCAGGACAGGCAGAGCTCGGAACCCTGCACTCCTGCTGAGCTCACTCTTTCTTCCTGGCAGTGCCCGCAAGCGCCCCATCCCCTACTACCGGCCAAGCCCCTCCTCCTCCTCCAGCTGCCTGAGCAGCGACTACTCCAGCCGGAGCCCCAGCCACGGAAGTTACAGCAGCCGGAGCCACGGGACCCGCAGTCGCACACACAGCCCCTCCCGGACCCCCAGTCCCAGCTACCACAGCCGGAGCAGCTCAGAGAGTGGGGGCTTCTGAGCCAGACCCACCCAGCTTGGGGCCCGCTATCCCTGGGAGAGGCAAGGGGCCAGGCCCCAGGACCATGGGGGGCACTCCACCCCCATGGCTACCAGGAGGGCCCAGGGGCCAGCACGTGGGCAGATGGGACCGAGGAAGGCCTAGAGGGTAAATGTCTGACAGCCAGGGATGAGCTGGATTCTGGTGCTTCTAGAGGGTGCCCACCCCCATCTCTTGCCCACCGACTGGGTCCAGGGAACAAAGAGCCGATGCAAACACAGGGACTCCTCTGGCTTGAGGCCAGCAGCCCAGGCTGAGCTTTAGGGGGAGCCCCCCCAACCCCACCCATCACCAGCCCCCGCCCACCACCATGGTCTGCACGTCACCTCCTACTGGGCACCCTCAGCTCCTCTGGGCAGACCTGGAGGTGGTCAGGAGAAAGGACACTCTCTGTGCTGGGCAGCTGACTGTAGGGGTCCTGCCTGGCTCAGAGCCAGAGCCAGGGACTGGACCTGCAGACCCCCTGCAACCCCTCTCCCCACTGCCGGGCCAAAGGATAGGACCCCCTAGTCCCGGCCACTGGGCCAAAGTGCCCACGTCCACAGGCTAGTCTCTCCAGAGAGCTCTTGGCCCAGGCCACAGGTCCAAGCCACAGCAGCCAGGCCTGCATGATGGGGGTGGGGTTCACAGACCACAGCTGCACCTAGCCGGGCTCCCGCAGGGCTCCCATCAGAAGGTGGACAGAGGACAAGGCAGATGGAGGAGGAACCCGAGAAGATGCCTGGGAGGGAGGTGAAGCAGCCGAGCCAGGGGACGTGGGAGGGCAGGGAGGCTGGTGGGCAGTGCCCCTGCCTGCCTGAGGGATGGCGGGGAGCGGGTCCGGGACACGGGCTAGATGACCATACAAGGTCACGGGCAAAGGGACCAGGCACTGCAGGATCTACCCAAGGGGGTCCCTCCTCCTCAGCACTTGGCAGGGAGGTGGCCAGCCATGGTTCCCCCACCCCAGAAGGGCAGGGTTGGGCCTGGGCCGAGGGCCTCCACCTGGGACAAGGACTGGGCAGCTGTGGCCCCCCCGCCGGCTCTCTTCTGCTGCCCCTGCCCCCTCCTTCTGGCGCCCTCAGGGAATTCACAAAGTCTTCCTTGGCCCAATGGGGCAGACGCCCTGGGCTCCAGTGGGGGGAGGGGCTGGGGTCTCCTCCGGGTTCTGTTCCATGTCCCTCACCCCCTTTCTCCGCGGTGTGGATCAAAATGGGACCCAAATAAACACTCGGTGCCCGGATGGCAGGTGGTGAGAGCTAGCCCATGTGAATTTGGGGGTTGGTGGGGTCGGGGGGCTTGGGGAGAATGGGGAGGGCTGGCTTCTGAGTCATGAGAGGGGCCACAGAGAGAAGGGCTGACTCCAAGGGGCCAGGACCCGCACGTCCAGCCCCCACCTCCAAGCCTACGTCTGAAGAACCTTCCTGCAGAAGAGGTGGGGAGGACGAGAGGGGCCCAAGAAGACCTCTCAGCCTGGGACCCTCAGGAGATGTGGTGGTCAGTATGGTCACGACCCAGCCAGTCAGAGACCCTGCCTGATGCCTCCTGGCGGGGGACACACCTGGCTGAGCTGACACTCATGCACCACTGTCCTGACGGTGCCACCACAGGGACTGCACAAAGGTCCCTGAGCCGCCTTGTGAGGGGACACTGCACCAGACCCTGCAGGCCATAGCCAGTGTGAGCATGGGAGGGGTGGGGCAGAACAGTGACTTTGAGTCAAGTGCCCCTTCAAGACCTGGTGAAGGCCGAGGACCCCTTCCTCCAAAGAATTCCGAATCCAAAAAAAACGCAACCTCACTGCCATCGAGTCAATGCCAACTCATAGCGACCCTACAGGACAGGGTAGAACCGCCCAGTGGATTTGAGACTGTCACTCTTAATGGGGTAGAAAGCCCTGGCCACATTGGGCGTGTGATTCAGCCATGCGAGGCATGGGCACTCTGTAGGGACCCAAGAGTTACGAGACCTGGGCCATACCGGAGGAAAGTGGGGCTATCTGACCATGGCTCTGGTCTCTCACCCGAGTCCAGACACAGGAGACACCCTTGATCCCATCTAGAAGAGCAGGGGGCCACTTGGTTCCCCAATGCCTCTGCTGTGTCAGCACATAAGCCCCCTGGGCAGTCCCCCACACACACACCATGGAAGGGGGTTCCAGAGGCGACCATCGGTCATTGGCTCCCCTTCGGATCTGAAGAAGCTGTTCAAAGAAGCCCTACTTCTGTCCCTCGGGCTTTAGTCACGTCCAGGAGAGGGGCTGGGCAACAAGAAAAGCAGGCTTGGAGATGCCGCCTGCTCCCTGGACGCAGCGCCTTCCAGGGGTGGGGGGCAGGGAACACACCCAAACATTGCAATAAAAATTAGACTTGACCCACATGGACCCCATCCTGGTCCAGAAGCCCTGGTGCTTGGCCTGCTCCTCCCCCACCCTCCACTCCATCCCCTCCCTGCCCAGCCTGACCACCCCACCGTCCTCCCCACAGCCAGGCAGCCCTGGCAGGCTCACCCCCCTCCCAGGATTCCTGCCAGCCTCTGTCTTGCCCTCTCCGATCCATCCCCTGTTTCCATACTTCAAAATCGACCCTTCTGTTGGCTCATTCCTCAAAGGAGCACCTTCTCCGTGCTGGCCATAGCCAGCCATGGAGCTAACCGATTAGAGCCCCCTGCCCTCTGGACCCCACATCCTCGGACCACATCTCCTGCAGCTCGTAGACCTTCAAGTGGTGGCACCTGGAAGCTGGCATCCTCTTCTGCCAGTCCTCCAGCCTCAGCTCTCAGGAGAACCCTGGACCCAGCGGCCTCCTCCTCCTGGGAGAGTTCTTGACAAAGCCACGTCTTCCTCTGGATCCCTGTAGCTCTGGGTGGGCTCCTGCTTCTTTACCAGACCTTTCATGGGACCACGATGACCACGATGGGGCTGTCTGCTCCCGTACAGCCTCGGAAACCCTCTCTAAGGTGGCTTTTGTTTGTGTCTGTTTGTTGGAGTTTCTAACTCTGCCTCCCACCCCCACCCCCCAAAAAAGCTATTCACACTAAATACCAGACCATGTCTTCTTAGTCTCTACACCCTCGAAACAGGCACCCTTGAAATGTTTGTTGAATGAATCAATGAATGAATGAATGAATGAATGAGAGAACCCGGGAGCCACCAGGGAATGGGCAGGTCCAGAATCCTATGAGCAAGACCAGGCTTCGAGGTGAGGTGCAGTGGCATCAGGAAGGCACTAGAGGGAGACAGAGAGGGGGAAGATGCCTTTGGTAGCCTGCCAGGACCCACACAAACTGGACTGGAGTGAGCTCAGAGTCCTGGGAAAAGGGTCTTCCCCAGGCTGGAAGGCTGATCTTGTCCTTGGCACCTTCCTGGCCACTTGGGGAAGGGGTGCCCCTTGGGGAAGGGGCGCCCCCATCCCCACCCCCAGGAAGAGGAACAACAGGCCAGGGGCTGGGCCTGAACTTGGCTCCCTACTCTGGGAAAGTCAGGAAAGGGCAAAATACTGTCCGGAAGGTGCAAGGGAACACAGGAAACTGCCCTTTGGCCTCCAGTGGAAGAGGGAGTGGGGTTAGGAAGGGGGTGGGGGTGGGGACAGGGACCTTCCCTGGGATGTGTCATGAACATGGAATGAGTCCTCTGGTTTGAGGGTACCCTAGGTCCTCTCCTGGTCCCTCTCTCCCTAGATGGGGGCTAGTGGGGACCCGCCTCCTTCCCCTCCCTCCCCACGCAGTCCCTCGGAGGCTGGGCAGGGCTTTACTATTTCCCTGGCCGTGTTTTCCCATGTCTCCTCTCTCTGTTTTCCTGACCCCCCCAGACACAGGACCATCAGGCACAAGTGTATATGCCCAGTTTAGGTGTTCCCGCTCTGAATCACCCCCATAGCCCTATGGGAAGCTCCCCTGCCTCCTGCTCCTTGCTGACTATGGGAATATACAGCACCCCAGCCCACAACCAGGGCCCTGTCTTCTCCATACCCTTCCACCCTCGGAGGGCGGTGAGGGGTGGGGGCACTCTAAGTATGGTGGGCACTGCCTCAGGGCCTCCCATCTCCCTGGCCACCTGCCCATTTCTAAGGCCTCTCACTTCTGCTGGAAGCCCAAACCCACCTCAGCCTAAATCTTTTCTCTTTGGGTCCCCCATATCCTATCCCCCTTTTCCTTACCTTACTTTGATTTAAAGGGACAGCAGCCCCAAGTCAGGCCCAGGTTCAACTAGCCCACAGGCCCAGTGAGGGTCTCTCCTGCCTCCCCTCCTAGAGCACTAAGCTGTCCATGGCTCCACGTCAGGCTGCAGAGGCTAATGGTTCCAAGGGTCACAGGTTAAAAAAAATGTCAGGCTGCAGGCTCAAGTCCAAAGCTCCTGAGCCAGAGGCAGGATTCAGACCCAGGAAAAAGTAAGGGAACTTTTCCACAGTGTCTTCATCTATTGGGAGCAGGACAGCCACTTGGAGACTTCCTTTAATAGACTGGTTAGTCATAGCCTTCTCATCAGAGAAATGGTTAGATTGTGTTGGTTTCTGCTGGTGTGGGGGAGGGGTGGGGGGGCGTGGCTCCTGCTCCTGGGATGTTACCTGAGCAGGAGTACTGTTTCCAGGTGGGCCAAGAGTCAGCCCTGGCCGTGGATCTGCAAGAGGAGACGAGTTTACCAACATGACCACCTTTCCTGAGGTCTTTCCAACAGCAGCAAAAGCCCACCGCCATGCAGCCCATCCCCATGTTCCCATCCCAGAAAGTCCTCCCAGAAAGCCGTCCACCAGGAAAGATGTCGGAGGTGACTCTGAGCTCTGGCCCAGCCCAGCTCTGGGGCCTCTCTGGGCGACCTGCCCCATACCCCCTCCCAGTCTCACATGTCCAGTCCTCCTCAGGTACTGAGCTTGCTCTCGGCGGCCTCCTGGTCAGAAAGCGTGGCCAAGAGGAGCCGGGCGTGGTGCCGTGTGCGGCACCTGGAATAAGTGATGTTCAGACACTCCAGCGGGAGCTTCATGTTAGAAAATTCTGGGGGTTGACAAAAGTCCTCAAGGTGACCCTCCATCCACATGGCCCTGGGGTGGAAGCGCAGCCTTTCCCGCCCCAGGCTCCCCTGCTCGGGCTCGGAGCCCGCTGCCCAGGCCTTCTGCAGGCCAGTCTCATGCCCACTTCCTTTGGCTGTCCACACCGTGGCAGGTCTGGTCACTAAGCAGGGGGCTAGCACAGAGCCTCAGTTCCCAAGGAGCTCTCCCTCCATATGTCCGACCAACGCTCCTTCCTCGGGAAGGCTGAACTATGCCTGACTGTGCCCTGGACCCACCCCGTCCAAGGATGCTCTGTGAATACTGACGCTGAGGGGCACCCCAAGTCTGTCCCCCACCCCAGCCGACCCAGCCAGCTGCCTGAATCTCAGCACACTCCGAGGGACCTTCTCCCATGGACACTGCTCTCCTGCGGGCCACGGGACCACAGTACTCAGGGTTCAGAGCAGGTTTCTGCCCGCAACTCCTGTTTGCGGCCTTTCAAGGGGAGGAGTCAGCAGAGCTGTGGGGACACTGATTCTCTCCGGGGCTGCTCTGAGCCCCCAGACTCCCCTCTGCTCCCCAGGACACCCAGGCTCCACCTGCAGCTCTCTGTGACTGCTCTCGTCCTGCAGAGGGCACCCCTGAGCGGATTCCTCCAGGGGGAGCAGTGGTCTTCCCAGCCAAGATGCAGACCCCACCCCTGTGTGCAGCCAAGAGCCCCTCCTCCCCTTCCCCAAATCCACTCTCTCTTCCGCCTGCTTCTGCTGTCTTCCTGCCGTAGCACCTTCAGTATCCTCCCTCTTGCACCCATATCTACAGCAGGCACCAGGACATCACATCAACACTACCTGCACAAGAAGGCTGATGCTCCTGCCTGCCTCTCCGACTGGAGTGGAGGCCCCTGAGGGCAGGGCTTCCTGCCTGCTTGTTCACTGAATGATGCTAAGTGCTTAGAACGTGTCTGCAACAGCAAGGGCTTCATTGATACTGGTTGAGTGAATGAATCTAACCAGCACCTTCTCCCATGATCTCTGAAGTCCTGGGGCCCTGCAGTCAGCCCCTGGGGACACTTGTTCAGGCAACAGCAAGCATGAGACCCCACTAGATGTCCCACCCTCAAGTCACACCTGAGAAATGGGTTTTCTCAAGGGAGGCCGTCAGTGAGGGTGGGGCAGTCAGCTGCTTCTTAAAGAAGTCAAACAGGAGCACAGCAGCCCACACTCCCAGCAGCCTCTGCTACAGAGTCAGGCTTCCTGTACACTCCTGCCGTT